TGTTCTTTACAATCGCTGTATGTCACCTTCCGTACCAGGGGACACTTGGAGTTCTGACATGTTCCCAGACAACTGAGATACAGATAAGCATCACCAAAGAAATGGTTACAGTCTGTCATTACTTGAGGGTACGATATACTCGTCCTTTCTCGAGGTAAACCGTATATGTCTTCTCGGAACTTGTCAAACGGTTCAGATGTGCATGAACCCATCTTACGCTGCATATCTTCAAGACCGGCGATACAGTAGCTTAGAAATGTTGAAGATCCGATTGTTTGCTTTGAAGTGGAGAAGGTAAGTGTTCCTCGGCTTATTCTGCAGAGTTTGTTTTCATTACCGCATGTTTCGATTCCATCACAAAGTTCGTTCATTTTAATAAACCGAATTGCTCCATCCATGCATAAGAAAATATCATGACATGTCGAGTTATCTCGAACATAACGTTCGTTTCCAAACCTTCCGCAAGTCGGCCAAAGAGATAAATTCTCATCAACACCATCAACACAATCAGAAATACCATCTACTATCCACAATACAGGTATGTTGTATGGTATATTGTGCTTGAAACTCCGCAAGCACTTCTGTATAGTCATATCCTTACAAGCAGCAACAAGCTCATCACTTCCATCAGAACAGTCGTTAACCCCATCACAGAGCTGGTGCTTGTGAACAGTACAGCCAGGGTACAGGGTGTGACACTGAATGTCCATCAGGTTGGTGCAGATACCCACCTCTAGTTGCTTGCCCCTGCACACCACACCGTTGGAGATGGTGCTCAGTCCATAACCCGTCACGTGACATCTTCCTGCAATCTTACTGGTATCTGTGCAGTTTGTCTGGTCGTGAAAGTTAGCACAATAAGGCTGTGGTTTGCCGGTTGCTATTCTACCGCGGTTGTAGGAAATAGCGGCACACCGGGTGAAGTTGAATATAGGGACTATCTTCCGGTTATCTGTTCCACTTACGCACCAGGGCATACCCTTTTGTATTGCAGCTCGGCAATAAATCTCGTCAACACCTAGATTGGGATCTAAGTTAAAATTTCTATATGCTGGGTCTATAAATCGACGTCCATCTTCTTTATTTATTACTTTCCCCAAACAGTGAGTGGTTCCATCGCAAATGTTAGCCGTGCTCACGTGATATGGAATTGGTTGACACATGATCCCGTATCTAAATCCGTTACATTCACTCTCGTCCTCGCAGTCCCTATCATCGCAAACATCGTTACAAATTCTATCGCTCATCAATTTCACAATGCCGGTTGAAGAACAGCCTATCTCCTCCAAATCGGGACGATTCGGGCAAATTGTATTGTTGGAGCATATATCACTGACTGTTTTGGGTACGTAAGAATTAGTGCTCGTAATTTTTATTGCTTTACAAAGCAGGGACCCACAGGCAGAGAACTCATCTGAGGAGATTACCATACTGGGTGTGGAGCCGCATACCTGATAGGAGGAGGGTTTCAGAGAAATTATCATATTTAGTAAAATAACTTTAACCAAGTTGATAAATAAGGGTGCAGTGAATGGTGGCCCTGTACTATTCGTGATCTTTGATAAACAAAACAAATAGTCGAGTTTCGATTAGAAAACGGAAAAATATTTCACACAATACAATGATATGAATAAGAAATACCTGATATCCAAGTGGATCGTTAGGACAGATCATACTGAAGGTGTGTTGCTCAGAGAAGCTCAGCTTTTCCAGAACATAATATTGTGTCTGAGAGAAGGGGCACTTGTATATGGTAATACCGCGGTAACTACTGCAAACAGCCTGAAGAAATCCATGCATTTCTTTAATCTCACACGTCTCGCCAACTGTAAAATTAATTTTGATGGGCAATTTTGTTAAATAATTTCTAATTTTAACGCAAAATGAGAAATGTTGTACATGCAGAGTACTTTACCCATAGCTACATCTAAATCTAAACGTTTATAAAAAATAAGTCTTTATGAAAATAACTTACAATCATCAGTATCAGGACCAGCTGTCACGCTCAGAATGAGTGAGACCACAAACATGACTGTGTATTGTAGTTCAGCCATTACTTCCTGATGGTATATATTTTCTTTAGTTAAAGGGGTAGTCGTAAGGAAAATATTCGTTATGAGTTGAAACAAAAATTTCTATAGAAATGGTATAAGATTCAATAAAATTTCAAGGGGAAATCATATGGGTTATTCAAGCAAATAACATTTGGGCTCCGATAGAACAGTGTTAGCCCCACATTTCTATAGCCATGAGTCTTTACTAATGGTTGGTCAGAAAGAGAGATCTCAACGGTCTTTGGCTAAAATCATAAAGTGAGGTTGAGTTTTTAGGAGTCCCTTTTATAAATGATTAATCGTTTCCATAGAATATAGAAAAAAAGACAATTTAAAGCACAAAAACCGGAAAATCAAGATAACAAAAAAAAGAAGAAAGAAACAGTTTTTCCCCAAAAAATGAACCGTCACGTCATGTGACTATAACACACGACCAATGAGAACTGAGAAAAAACGTACAGTTTTAAGAATTTAAGTGGTCCAGCAATATGATAACACGCAACAAAAAGAAATAATTGTCGAGAAAACTTACAGTGCAGTTTTTACTTGTCCATAAAATTAAATAGCTCGTAAATGGTTTTTTGTTTCCTGTGATAAAAACAGAATGCACCAAAAGTTCTTTTTATTTCTTCTTAAAACCTCTGTGAGGGAGGGAATGAAAAGTGCACGGTATAAGATCACAGAGAGTGTCACATGATCCAGTCTCTCTAATAGTGAGTTAGCTAAAGTAAGGGTGAGAGAGATTCTCAGACAGATGGAGGGAAAAAAGGAGTGTTTTAAAGAATTTTATGATTGATTGGGGGACTGGTCCGTAGTACCAGCCAAATGTTTACTCAAAAGTAATATATAATTGTAATAAGTTAAATATTCATCCCCGAGGGGCACGCAGATTATAATTGTGATGTTATCTATTAAAACTAATCGATTAAGATTTTATTGGTCGAGTCGACTGGCCCTGATCTGCAAACATATTTGATATTAGTAACTTTATGATGCTGCCTCACCGCAATTAGGTGTGTTATCAGTGTAGATATGCGCTATGTGGCAGTGAAATAAGGAATGTGCTGTTAGAATGGCAGGTGGTTTGAAATGTTGTCCTGATTCAGATTGTTTAATTTGAGCTGTATGAGTTTGGTTTTGAGTGATTATTGACTATGTTCTTTGTGATTTACGTAATCCAGGTAGGTTGTGGAGTAAAAATGGTGGCCATTCGTCGTTGCAGCCAGCACTTTGCAAGTCTAGTAGTACTTTTTTTGACGAATTCTTATATATGTTGATAGAAAATATACTGGATGGGCATGTAATGCGAGTGTTATGCTCTGAAATAGCGAGCATTGGGCCTTTATAAAAGATGCTAGATCTCAATAAAAGATGCTAGATCCCTGCTAGATCCCTGCATTTTTGACGAGCCCAGTCAGATGCCTTGTCAGGTGTGACTCAATAAAACTGTATTTAAACTTAAATACTCTGCTATAATAAAGGAAAAATGGGATGGGCAGTATAAGACAGAAACATCAAACAACGTCACGCTCTGTATCAATATCATATTATAAGATAAAGGCTCTATTCTCCTACGCAGATCGAAGAACCATTTCAAACTCCAGTATTTTATCGTATTCGCGGACGAGGGAGACATGTTGTCTCTGATGATTTGATTGACCACTGGAGATCACGTTATAAAGGGTTGCAATTCACGTGACTTATCTTGGTCAAGCGACTGAAGAACTTGTCGTGGGTTGTTTTGAGAATAGGTACAGCAGACAGCTGCTACATGTTTAATTCTAGTTCCACACGTAGTCATTTTCGACACGTAGCCATTTTCGACAGGGTGCGATTTCAACAGGGGTGATTTCCAGCAAACTTTAGCTGTCTAACTAGAGTACGTATCAAAGTAGAGTCCAGAACTACAGTCGCAGAATATAAAGCCGTGATTTTTAAGTGGATTTAATAAATTCATCATGCCTGCGAATCACGATGGTCTTTCATTTATTGAATTAGTGAGCGTATCAAAGAGTGGAGCCACCAAAAATTGCTTTTATAGCAGCTGATCATGCAGCTTTGCATTTTTCGAGGTACACACGACCAGAGACTTGAAAAATTCAAGAATTTTATATTGATGCCATCAGCCATGTAGTGAAATGTAGTGAAATGTAGTGAAATGTAGTGAAATGTAGTGAAATGTAGTGAAATTTAATGTAGTGAAATATAGTAAAATGTAATGAAATGTAGTGAAATGTAGTGAAATGTAGTGAAATGTAGTGAAATGTAGTGAAATGTAATGTAGTGAAATGTAGTAAAATGTAATGAAATGTAGTGAAATGTAGTGAAATGCAGTGAAATGTAATGAAATGTAGTGAAATGTAATGTAGTGAAACAGGATGACTCACTAAATGTACGGCGTAGGCGACACTCTTACACTTCAAAATGTTCTAATTTCTATTGCTCTATCGCGCACACTCATGACACTATCATATTATTGTCTTGAAAATAATTACCGATTATTATTCAATAAGATTTGATACAATTGTGTATGATTGTCCCCATGTGAATACCATTTCACAAATAAGACGACTTGCTATTAACACTGAACTTTACTGGAGTTAAACTCGGTGCCGTTTTAACAAATTTATCAAGACAAATAGCCATTGACAGAACAAAGCTGTGTCCACCGTTTTCGGTCAGTTTCAAAAGCGATCATGATCAATTAACTATTAAACAAACATTTCTATTCCAATGTTATTTTGATCAATAAACTGGTAAGCTAGTATTTCTAATAATAGAATAATGTAAACGTCATTAAGTGTATTCCAGTGCAGTAAGTTGTGTTAAGTGCTTTAGCACCAACAGATTGAGCCCCATATAAAGCATATCAAGATCAATAAAAAAGTAATGTAACTTTCAATTAAAGATCATTTGAACATTAATTAAAATCTATTTTAACTTCAGCCCCAAAAGAAACCCGGCTACTCCCCGTTGAAGCAACCTGAAAAGTGAGTCATTTAGTTTTAAGCATCTCAAATATGAGTTAAAGTAATCGTCTCCCCTTTTTTATACTGCAGCTTACTCTCTGTTGCCAGCTAATTTGTTACCTAGGGAGGGGGGGGGGCTCATGTTTTTTGTCCGTTTTTGTCCGTTTGGTACCCTATTTTCTGAAAACGGACAAAGAATTAAGTAATCATCTCTCCACTCCACCAGGACTAAGAAGATTCCAGTTAGATTTGAAAGACCCATCAGTGCCCCACCTAAATATAACCTCGGTTCAGGTAACAATTATAACAATTAGGTAATTATGATAATTAATAAGTCAACTTCATACATTTAGTTCTAATGATTTAAATGACTGCACTGTCAATACTTATTTTGTCAGCTTGAATAATATTTAGAGCTTTGATTGTAACCATTGTTGAAATATTCTATCGCACTGAAAATCAGCTGTATTGAAATGGTCAATAGTGTTAATGCAATGAAAGTGTTATATTGGCGAACTCGGTGAATGTCCTTGCTGTACGGCAGTGTTAAACAAGGAACTGAAACCGAGGGATTCCGTTCAGGCCCTTCACACTGGTTCTAATATACCGTTACAATAATGACTTTAATATTAATATAATGATAGAGTTAACGTGGATGTTTCTGATATGTGTGACAGTTAAATATTTGCCCGTCAATCAATGTGTTAACTGTTACATCTCTCAGCTGACAAACTAACTGATATGCATGTTTAATCAGAACACAGCACACACTGCTGCATGTAATCAGGTGTAATCGTAATGGGCTGCATGCAAAGCTGTGCATGTGTTTTGAAAATTCTTGTTTTTCGTTTAAAAGTGTGGTTTATAAACAACTAGACAAGCATTGGATCAATATTTAACGGGCTGTTTTATCATATCAATCCAGCATTCAAATGAACATGACAAAGTTATTAAACTTATATAAAAGTGGACCACATTATTGGATGTCACATGCTATTTTGAGTTAAGTATTAGAATATGTTTAAAAGTTTTTTATTAAGTTTTTTTTTCATATCCAAAGTAAAATAGGGCCTCATCGTGATCATTATCAAGAAAGACGCCACTTAGCAGTCTAGTTACAGGTTGAAGCAGTATTGAGTCCAACCACCCCCCCCCCCCCCCCCCCATCTAGGTTAAGTAATAAACACGAACTCGAGCTGTTTTCAGTTTCACCAATTTATCTACTCATCTCATTTCTACTGTATCGCATTAGTTTTAATCCTATCCCCAGTGCAGTAGTACAGATAACCAGGTCTGAAATAAAGGTGATGTAGTTCTATAATTGCATTTCCTCTGACACCACATTCTAGAACTAACAGTACCGGCCTCTCAGATTACATAATATCGTCCTACTATCCTGGCCGGGTTATTCAAACAGTTCAGTAGGGAGTCCTTCAGTCGATCTGTTTTATAGTTAAACTTTTATTATCATCCTTTATTATTAAATTCCAAATTAATTATAATACAGATAGATTGATCATTTTACATACATAATTGGGCGTGGCTTACGAAACTTTCAGGAAATTTAAGTTTGACCCATATCTATAATCTCTGAAATTTTGGTGCAATTTGGAGACGAATTACGTGAGTTATTAAAGGGTTGCGTGTGGGTAGTTACTTTTGGGCCACCCTGTATTTTAACAACTCAGTTATCCTGACCATGTGTAATTAATAGTTCGACATCACATTTTTGATATTTAGTTATTTGTTTTAGGCAAAGATTAGACTTGGGCGCTGTTTTAAACTATCCCTTGTTTAGAACTTTTATTCAATAATAAATATTATGGACATCACATTTGTGCACACATTAACACATGTGTTATCTACACGTGTGTAATCTATTGCCACGTGTGTAATCTATTAATACGTGTGTAGTCTATTCAATAGACTGTGTCTCTCTTAGTCTGCTGGTTTGTCGTGCAGCCTAATTGTACATTCTAGCTAGTTTATTAGTTAGTTTAGTTAGTTACTTCTAGTTACTATCTAAGTTACTAGTTAGATTAATTTCCTGCTTTACACTTTTGTAGTGACAGTCTAACTGGGTTATTTGTTACTTATTACTGGTTACTAACTAAGTTACTAGTTATTTAGTTAGTTTATATGTGTCAGTAATTCAAATTACTGGACTGTTGATCTACGATTGTTAATTGAAACGTGCTTGCTACCTTCAAGTCAAAAGCTAGATACATGATGCACTTCAATGTAAATTTCTTGATTCAATTCCAATTTCTACTGTAATTTCATCGGCTGTCTCTCGTGAGGTGACTGGTTGAAATTGGTCACGTGTTTTTAAAAATCTAAGACTGGACCTCCTGCTGATAAATTCGCATTCAATAAAATATTGTGTGAAAATATCATCAATAAATTGGTTGTTTTTATAGCATGCACTTCAGATTCCAGCTGTTCAGATAAAAAGGATAACCTTTAAAAGTTTAAACTGACTGTAAAAATAACTTTTCTATTACCACGTGAATACATTTTATTTAGTCTCCATTCAAATCCTAATCAACCCGATGCCCAATTATTTTTAGATTTTTGCTCAAATGGGCATGGGCAATGTGCTTAAAAACAGCTTAAACTTCAGTTTTAATGAAGTAATGAAAACATCGCCATTACATTGTGTTCTCCGTCTTCTAATTATTTAATACAGCTATATCTCGCTAAATAGAGTTTGGTATAAGGAATATTAATTTTTAGATTTTTACCAAAAATTATGTTAATAATGCCTATTTTGCCCATCTATTCCTCAAATTTTCTTCAAATGGGTTTGGGCATGTATGGGGTTGCCCCCCCCCCCCCCCCCCCCCATCTTATGAAGAAGTGTTTCATTGTTCCACATCATATCACGTATCTACTCTTGAGAAGCAGTCTCTCTACTGCTGTGGTCGCCTTGCTTATCAAGCTTTTTAATTATCATCACTCCAATTTTCTATACAGTCCTTAGTTTTTGTATGCAGTGGTTTAGTCTGGTATCTTGTCTTTTTTCAGTTGTCTAAGTAACGTATCTTACTGTATTTAACGATAACAGTAAAACTTCCTTTCCATGATCATTTAAATTTTGGGTATTTTGCTGGAATAGTGCCAAGAATTGGTTCCTTATCTTATGAAGAGTAACACCAACTACCGCATATTAAAGACAAGAGAAACGACATTCTTGGACGCCCTCAAAAAATGTAACAGATTTGTAGTGTTGTCATTAGTTTGAATCATATCAAGTTCCCTTAATTACTGTGTATATCGTAATTAAGTAAATAATTGTCTTGATAGTTGATACAGTTGGTTGTTAGGTTACCAATAATCTTACTCAACAAAAGTTGTAAATTAACACCATCAATATTTCCGCTGGTATAGCGACCAAAGAAACACAGTTGTAAAGTTGTAATTTAACTTTATTTTCTAGGATTATGCTTCATATTCGAAAAATGGATATCTCATAAATATTTAATATAAATAACTTATTTGAGTTTCATGATCCTCTTAAGCTGTAAGACCAGCTTTTTAGACTGGCAATCCATTCACCAAAATTGTTTACCGATCATTCTAACAATGCGTCAATCCAGCTGTGCTCTTTTTTTGCTTGTTTCTTGTCTTCTAGTATCGTTATAAAGTTATAACAGCAACAATGTTGTTTCTTCTTTTCTTGTGTTCTAGTATCGTTACAAAGTTATAACAGCAACAATATTGTTTCTTCTTTTCTTGTGTTCTAGTATCGTTACAAAGTTATAACAGCAACAATATTGTTTCTTCTTTTCTTGTGTTCTAGTATCGTTATGTTTCCATATATCATCATGTTAAACTGACTGTTCTATGTCTAAGCCGATGTCACAATGAAAGACTAACCCTCTAGAGCAGCTCACACAATGGACTCAGTCCACTCCAAAATATCGCTCTTCTCTGAACTAACAGTATCTTCAGACTCAGAACCAGAAGATGCTGACAGAGGTAAAGCGTGGAATGATGACGCGGTGCGCGTTCCCTCCACCATGACAGAAGAGGATTCCAGTGATGAAGGAGTGGGGTGTTACCCGCGCCGCGTGCAGTGTACCCAACCTGAACCCCCACTCATTGTGCGGTTAGATAAGAAACTTCCAGAAGCAATAGTCCAGCGGAAGAAGTCACGTGAAGCTGCGGTGGTGTTGAGAGAAAAGCGGAAGAAAGATCTGGTGAACCGACGCCAGGAGGAGCTGGCCCTGGAACGGAAACTGCGCTTCAGACCTCGCTACATGGAGGTTAATCCACCTAAAACATCCCCACCTCCAAAACCTTCCTCCGCCAAGAAACGAACAAACATCCTCCTCAACAACCCCCGACCACCATCAGTTGAACAAACTGCTGCCCAGTTCTCACAGCTAAACCTGGACAACTTGTCCTCGATGGAAACAGGACTGACACAGGAGGACATTCAGACATTCGTCAGACAGAGTAAGTTAACACGTGACATGTTGAATATAAACGTAAACAAGGGGAATCTGTCCCTGGTGTTTGATGAGAAATCTCTGCAGTGTGAGAAGATGCTGAGAAGGGAAATTCAGAAGTATAAATCAGGGAAAAACCCAACTTATTGTATAATCTAAGTACTTAAAGTAATAAAGTACTTAAAACACTTCTTTTAGTTACTCAAGTTTGTTCGATTATCAGAGTCAATTTTCGGAGTGTTGTTATAAAATAGCAAGCATGCGAGGAATGTTAAAAGTAGTAACTATCACATTGCTGATACCTAACACTTACTGCTTACCTTACACGCTGTGCTTGTTAAGATGATAAACATGGGATGTATCAGACATTGATTATTAATAACTTTAACAATTTTATACGTAATAGCGAATGATAAATCAAAGCTTGTTTGAGTACACAAAATGAGATGGTATCACTATCGTTGTAGTGTATTTTTTATTGAAGGTTAGCCCACTCAGGGCCAATAAAGTTAGGAAGATAAAGAAGGAAGATTTGCACTGCAGTTTACACTGTGGTTTAATTAAAACTTAAATTGGTTAATTGTGTACTTTGAAATGATTCATTTGCCCTTTTTTTCCTTGAGAAAGCTTATCATAATGTTTCAAATATGTTGATATTATAACTAATAACAATTTAAGTTTATTTACAAAAAAAATGTCCCCTTGGCTTGTATCCAAAAACTGTTAATGTCTAAAAATCTTACCACTTGTGTAACCAGATATTTCTTTAAGATCATTGGCATGTTCTAAGAGGGGCGGTGCAAGTTGTGATGATTGTTGCCAAGGGGATCAGTAAAAGTAATTGAATGAACATTGGCGGCATTCCCTTGACTAAAACAGTGAAATGGTGGGAAGGCGTACGCTTCCCAGCTCCTATCATATTGCATTATCTAAACAAAATCTTCTTGGAGATATTTTACTTTGCCCATATAAACATGCGGTCGTTAGTTTGAAAAATGAGTCTCATCGAATGCATTATAAATCGATTAAATTAACTGATTTGACACTGATTTGCAGTCGCTTCAACATTACATTTTATGTAACGCGCAATAGCTGAAATACAATTTTGTAATCAAATAGTCAAATCGACATCTTTTTTTGGAGCCGCGCATTTGTTCGTCAATTTGAGATCAACTTCTAAATAAGTATTGGTACGTTCATATCGATGGTGATGCATGGCATACTGATTGATTCTTTTTCTTGTATGAGCATGCTAATTGACGATACTCGAGATTTTGGTTTCATTGTCCGTTCTGTAGCAGGGGAAGGATCGGAGTCTCGAATTAAAAGAAGATCTGGTCGAGGCAAACATTATCAGGCAAGTACATATTATAAAGATTAATGATTAAAATTAAAGCAAGTTCATAATCGCTTATGACTATTATATATTGACAATATGTCATTTTGTGAAATATGCTGTTAATCCGGCGGGTTAACAATTTTAAAATTGTTGGTTTATGATTTGCCAATTAATGGGATTCGGTAATTAGCAGGTCATAAATTTGTCGGTTGATATCAGCAAATCAGCAGGACGATTTGAGTGAAGACAGCTATCGACCACTGAGTTCTGGGAGAATCTGTCCGGTCCACAACATGAAGTCTGTCTTCAGTCTGATATGACCGGTTGAGCTAGTTGACTTCCAGTTTTTAATCTTCAGTGTTCAGACTGCAGTTAAAGTTGTTTCAGGCTGACTTTTCTTGTATATATGTGACGAACTAATAATCGTGGTGCAATTGATTCAGTTTCTATTCAGTTGTGCTATGTGTAGTTTCACTCTGATAATAGCTTCAAATTGTTATATTGCTAGCAATTCATTATCATTTAACGTTTTAGAGTTGCTATTTACTGAGTTACTAATTACTAAGGAATAAAGTCACGTTTTGGAGCCAGACATGCAGGATGAAGGATCACTCCAGTTTTCGGTAAAATCCATACAATTATCATTTATGGATATTATCTACGAGTTAAACTACATATATGTATAAGTTGGTGGATGACTCGTCAGAATCACATAACGAACAAAGGAACAACGTGAACAAACCAAGACGGTAAATACTAGGCACTGCTCAGAATTCATTGTCATTGTCCATATATCTCTGAACTAGGAATAACTGAATAACGTGTAATATGCATCTGTTTATGCCACATTAGGTTTAATCATTGGTTTGTTATTGAAATTCATGAAGAATGTGAGGCGTAGATGTGATATCTGCATTTTTTATTTTTATTATTTACAATTACTACGCAGTGTTCAAGTTTAGGCAGATCGATTGGTCTAATGGTGGTCAGTATGACTGCACAGTGCACTGGTTTTTGGATAAATGAGCAGTTTTTGATCTTGTTGTTTCATCAGAATCTTTGTCTTGTCAATAATCTTTTACAGCTTTTTAGCTAATAACAATTTGCATCTTTACTTTTCTCACAAAATTTAATCGATGTTGTTATGACTATTATGTAACTGTAAGTGATGTTTTTTTACTACTATCTGCTAAGACAAATGATTTGTTATAACATTTACGATGGACAAGTTTTGAAGCCTTTTATCTAATGCTTGCTACGCTCTGTTTTAAATCATTGAAATGTGTTAAACTTTTACTATAAGCGCCTCGATCTAAAGCCTAAGGATATACTTGAGATGCTGAACAGTGTTGTAAGTTGATAATAACCTAGCCGAACTTTAAGTAACTAGACTTTTAAGTCTTAAAGGGATGCTATGCTGCCCATGCTGCAAATCTATTGATAGCCTTGATTGATAGCCTTTTCAATTCAACCGTGCTTTTATTTAAATATTAAAACAGGGTAAGGGAAACGTATACACGGTGATAATATTTAAATCGGTTTTATCAACAAGCTAGGTCAGCTTCTATCATCTTAATTCTTTTGTACAGTTTATTAGTCGATGCAAGAGTTGTTTATGCATTTCACTTACAGCGTTTGATATCAATCACAAACTGTTAATATAATCTATCGCAATGTATCTTTTTTCGCTTTTTTTTCCTTCTAGCAACCTGTATTTAATTAAATTATTAAACCAAAACTGAAACACAGCTTAAATAGTTTGAAAACATTTTATAAAACCAGCATAACAAATAAACCGATTTAATAAACCTATCACAAAACATTAAAACCTATAACTCTCCCTCTTTTCTCCGCTTATAATCAAACATCCTAAAGTCCACATCAAAATGATTTTCAATAAACTCGCGCTGAATCTCACTCAACTTCCTTATCTGCTCCCATACCTCCAACATCTCAGTTGACTTCCTAGTCGAGCTATTTGCTCTATTTAAAAACACTCCTCTGTCATTCCAAAGTCCCAGTTTATCCACTAAGAACCATAGCTCCAGCGGTTCCTCCTCTAGTTTTATAATGTAGTTAAAGGAGTGGTGGCAGAAGTCGCAGAACTCGTGGCCAGGCATCCAGTGGCCGTCCCAGTCGTTGCGTGATTGTCGTTTTCTGGGAGATAATTGGAGATTATTTAGAAGGGGCTCTGAGTATCATTCAATATAAATGACCTTGAAAATTTGTAATTTAACAGTGGTGTGTTACACGCCGTTCAATACTCATTGAAACTATAAAATCATCGACAAATTAAAATTAACAAAAACCGTCAAATTTGATGATGTCCCTGCGGCTAACTACATATTGAATTAATGGTGAGTACTTAGTAGAGGTTTTAACTTACTTTTTTATATGATCGATCATCTCTGATAATTTAGGGTAGGGCGGATCTAAATAAGGATTATCTGCTGACTTGTTAAACTCGCCTCCTGGCTTCCCGTCTTTTAGCTTGAAATATTATATTGGTTTAAGGTTGTAATCAGAAATAGAGTATAAACTGTCATTTAATATTGAGCTGAAAACCTTTCACCGAAATTTTCGAATCTGAGAAGGAATAGTAAGTAAATGGTAAGTAAGTAAATAATTATAAGTAAATGGTAAGTATAAATGGTAAGTAAATAAAGGCTCCCCAACAACAACAGCACTAACCCACTGAAAGTACTTGATAAACTCCGCCTTGAACTCGGAGATGCGAGAGTGGTTAGTAACGGACCGTGTTCTGGCCTCCATCATGGCACTTTGTATCCAGATACCCTGCTGGTTAACCATCTCCTGGTCCCGACCTGAGCTCTTTATGTGGCTCACCTGAGGGAGAGGGAGGGTGAGAAGAGGGGTGGGGGAGGGGTGGGGTGGGGGCGGGAGGGAGGGATGGGTGGTGTAAAAAGCTAAAAAGAGGGGCAGGGTTGGGGGAGGGAGGGGTAAGAAGAGGGGTGGGGACCGGAGGTGTAGTCAGGGGTAAGAAGAGGGGTGGGAGAGGTTTAGGGAGGGGTAAGGAGAGGGGCGGGGAGGGGTAAGAAGAGGGGAGGGGTAAGAAGAGGGGGTGGAGGGGTGTAGGGAGGGGTAAGAAGAGGGGTGGGGGAAGTTTAAGGAGGGTAAGAAGAAGGGTGGGGTGGGAGTTGGAGGGGTAAGAAGAGGGGTGGGGGAGGTGGAAATTTGGGTAACACATTGCAACTATATGGACTCAAAATTAAACATAACGCGTTGTACGTCATGACACGTGATCATTATAAACCTACCAATCTAGAGTAGGGGTGCCGGATAACAGAGAATCTAACATTATCCTCGTTCTCATCTTTGTACAACTGCCTCCCCTCTGATGTTTTTCTTAGTTTTTTTACCTACGATTAGTAATTAAGTTATCAGAGTTTTTGTCATTTTAAAAGTCGTTTTGAATCTTTGTTTAAGTCTTACAACTGAATTTCAAACTATTAAAATGGCTAAATAGAAGGTAATCAATGTCTTCCATTTCAGGATTGAATGTCCAAACTAAGTACACCTGGTTGCAAAACACCTTCATAAGCGTTACCATGGTTACTTTCACTGTCACGTGTTACTTCCACTGTCATTTGTTGTCTTATGTGTCAAGTTTGTCGTATTGTCGGTCTTACGTCTAAAAAACATTTTATTAGTCGTTACAAACAAGCTGTAAGATATTAGGTAAACATGTCATTATAAATAGTGGTTTGTGACAAATAATTAATTAATTAATAAACTAATTAATTAATTAATTAACAAATAATAAACGCACATTGGTAAGCTGCCTGCTCTTCAGAAGATCCAGGTAATACTCCTCGGGGGGTTCCTTTACCAACTTGGTTATAAAGTAATTCCTCCACGTGGTACTGCCTGACTTGAATACTGGACACCACGACATTCCTAGTTCACTGAAATACCAACATTTATATCACGTGGTACGTCATATGAATGGCGTCATAAATACGTCATATACCTGATTTGAACACATTCCCAGTTCACTGAAATACCACCATTCATACAACGTGGTGTTTTTATCTTTACAGTGCGACAGTACGATGGAATATAAAACGATATATTAAAGCGTACGTCACATGAATGACGTCATAAATACGTCATATACGATATACATGTCGTGATGACGTTACAGCAGCTGCTCACGTCACAACTCACACCATGTTATAACTTGTATAACACTTATAATATGGTCTCTGTGAGCTGAAATCCTTTATTCCTAGAGTAACTGTACTAATTACAGCTGTAGCTGTGAAGTAGCTGTGAAGTACACGATAAATGTTTGATCATAACCCTGTATTACGACTACTTCTAATTAGTAATTAGTCTAGAAAGTCCAAACTACCTTATTTGGTACATGTTGTATCTCCTTTGGAAGCCCTGTCTGCCTCGTTCAATGTTTGGTTCCCGGCATAAGTTTCTTATTTTCTCCATTCTCTCCTGTATTCTCTTCTCTATAGCCTGTGAAAGTACAGAGATAAATGACTGACTTTAATCGAAGTGCAGACAAAAGACTTCTTATTTAACTAGTTAATTAGAAGCTTCCCAACCCTCTCTTTATATGATTACTGTGTGTCTGTGATTATCTAAATTGTTGTTAATATTTTGCTGATCAACTCTCATCACACATCTTTTCTTATTTTTAGACAACAATAGTATTACTACTATTTTATAATACGCACGACTTTATCTTGATCTAGTTTATCATTATTTTATCTATTTATTTAAACATTCTTCACTCTGCAGCTCAAAACCCCAGGAATCTTAAAAAATACTTTAAAAATACCTCCGATAAAATACCTCAGATCCCAACCCAACTAACCTTGTAATTGTAGCGGTAGTAGTTATCCAGGAAGTTAAGATTGTGCAGGTCCACGTTCTTGACCCTCGTCAGATTGTACGTGGCGTCCAGATCCGCCGAGTCTAGCCCCGTTTCTTTTATCTGATCACTAATAGGGTATACGTCTTTGTTTGATTCCGCGCCATTCTCAATAATTACATCTTTATCATCTGGATAGTTATGACTTATATCGTTATCTTCTGAATCGTTAGGGATCGGATCATCATTTGTATTGTCCCAGTTATTTTCCCAGTCATTGTTTATCGGCTCATCATTATTTCTTTCCAGTATTGTTTCTTGACCAAGCCTATCTGGACCTGTTCCAACGCCCTGTTCATTTTTTTCAATAGAATTTTCATCTTCTATAACGTCGGATAATACTTGATTAGGTTTTTGTGATGGGGTGGAATCCTCAATAGGCTCGATGATTATCTCATTCTTATGATCAGACTGAGGAAGATTATGCACTTCTCTTAATAACTTTAAAGTATCATCACGTGACTGATCCCCGTGATTTATCTCAGGAACATTATTACCCGAATATATAGAGTTGTTTATATCATTTTCCTCATGATGTTTATTTCCAACAAGCTCATCATTTTCGTCATGCTGATAGTTTTTAACAATATCTGGTGCATTATTTCGAGCAGTCACATCTTTGTTTATCTGATTAACCCTTTTAAGATTTGTCTCCAGCTCTTCGAGCTCCTTATCTAAAATTCCATCATTATTAATTTCTGATTCTGATTCTGAGTTTTTAAGGGGAATTTGAAGCTCAGGTTGATGAAAGTTTTTGGTATCGACAGAGATCTTATCCAGATGCCCACCGAAACTAATCTCTGTGTAGTCCTCTAAAGAGTCTTCTTCTGTGGAATATTTTCCTATAATTTCTAATGTGTGTTCCTGTCGGTCTGAATCGTCTGCGAATGAGAGGTAGTAGTAACCTGGTAAATATAGAGTTTTTACTTAATAATTAGATTACAGTAATGTTGAGAATATAATATGCATTTCAATTTTAGACCTATTAGTAAGTAGATCTACTTACTAATAGGTCTAAAATTCCCATTTTAAATTATCAGTTATATCTATTAATCTATATAACTAATAATTTAAAATGGGAATTTGATATCGTCAATTTAGCCATATTGCTGAGCATTATAAGAATGCCTGATTATGATTATCTTGATGCCGAAATATTCCAAATATTTAGGGTAAAATGCTGTGACCCTTGAATCTCGATATCGAGGGAGTAGACGAAACACACTAGCTCTCATAAGTTTACCTGATAAGTTAAAGAATACAATTATCATAACAACCGCTAGCGAGATCTTGGTCGCATCTCGCCGCTTCATCTGAATTAAAGTGAAAAATTAATAAAAAATTAACATAATCATACACGACAAATGTACATTAATTAATAAATCTATCTATAAATAGATACGAAGGCGATACACAAATGAGAACAAAAAGAGTTACTAACTTATTCAATTATAAATAGCAACTGTATAGGATAAGATAATACAATCAATATTGTGATTTTGATTTCAGCCTGGATAAAAGCCTGATAACATCAATCTTATATTATATATGAAAAACATGGCCAGCAAAACCTAACAAGCGGCTAGAAGTAGAACTTGTATAACTGTGTATGTAGAATGTAGATGAAACTACAATGAGCAACCATATGTTATATCGAGCAGCATTATAACATGGTCATGAGTCAGCGAGCCGATAGGGGGGTTTCCAATGGTGAAAAATGGTGAAAAATGGTGACTGATTTTTATGGTGAATTGAGTATCCAAATTATAAAATTTCGCCATTTTACACCATTTTTGAGGAGTTTATTTGCCTCATCAAAATATGTTGGTCGAGGGAAATGATGGTGCTATCTTGGAGATGGCCAATATTCGGGCAGATCGTGGACCATATGAAATTGTGGGCCCACGTTTGATAATTAACTATTAACCGATAATTAAATATATTTAAAAAACACGATATAACATACTATACATGCGTTAATTAGGGGATGTTTTGAATTACTATTAACCATAATACTGAATCCATTCCAAGGGAATACATCCTGATATTAATTAATTCTAAAACAATATTTGATTATTACGTAACTCAGATTTTCAGGATATAAAGAAACAATTTAACATGACGTGTTAAATCGGTCACCATTTTTCATCAAAACTAGTAATTTTTGGTGAACATGGCAAGTAAGGTACATCAAACCTGGTAACTTTTAGCAAAAGCAGTAAGAAACGTACATCAAACCTGGTAACTTTTAGTGAACTTGGCGAGTAAGGTGCATCGAAACTGACCACCCCCCCCCCCCCCCCTAATAAGCATAGACGGAAGCGGGGGTGTAGGAATGATTTTCTTCATGAGGGGGCCAAAATCTTAGAGTTTTACAAATTTAGCACACGCTTTGGCCACAGCCTAAATTTCAAAAACAGCAAAACGTTCAGTGTCAATCATGCCTGTAAAAGGTTTATGGCAAGATGGCCTAAGCGAAGGCTGCATATTGTCCAGATTCGTTTGGCAGATGGATACTAATAGCGAATTTGTTTCAAGGAATTAATTCTAGCAATGAGGAATGTAAATTTGGGCGACTATCGTGCAGTTAGACTATAACAGTTAGATGTAGAATAGGTCAAATGAGGCCAAAAAAGTTGGCCCCTTTTCGCCCCTTGCCGAGATTTTATGGGGGGGCGGTCGCCCCCCCCCTCTTCCTACACCCCTAAACAGATGGGCCACAGACTCCGGGGGATTCAGTCAGTGCAATACACATGGTGGCCCTGTATTATTTGTATATAATAGTACATGATACCTACAGGTTGTTGTTTTAATTTACTAGCCACCAGCTGTGTTCAAGACATGTCTACTTGTCGTTAAGAAGTGAGAACAGCTGTTTTGCACTTAAGCCGCTAATTAACTTAATATAAAGGACTAGTTTACAAGAGTGTACTAGGAGGTGTGAGTTCAGGTTTCACTAAAGTTCATTCAAATAACAAGTTATCGCACAAATGGGACGATCAGCATTAATGGTTTTTCTTTTAAAGAGCTACGATTTATTAAATAGACTAGAAAATCAAGTCTTAAGTCTGAAGAACCACTAGCTCAATTTGAATGTTTGTGATCATGATTGTGTGATGCAGATAACTTTTTGGCGCACAAGGAGTCAAGAAAGACAAAAAGCGAGATTATAAAGTAAAAGCCTAAAAATCGTAGGGAATGGAGAAGTAACCGGACACGACGAAGCAACTGTAGCACGTACATGTAACATTACCCCAACACGTAACATGACACCAATAATGATACGCTTAGTGCTGCACTGTGTGCAGTTAGAGCTGTGTACAGTTAATGCCGTCATTACTACACTCGGTAGCTGCTATCTGCTACTGAGTGTACCTTTTTACTACAATTTTTACTGTACACAGTACAGTTAGTGCAGTCATCACTCAGCTACATCTCAGTAGCAGCTATCTGCACTATTTACAGTTAGTGCTGCACTGTGTACAGTTAGTGCTGCACTATTTACAGTTAGTGATGTACTGTTTATACAGTACAATTGGTGACGTCATACTCAGCTACACTCTGCAGGGCACTGGTGCACCTTTTAAAAGCAGCACGTGTCACGTTACAATTATCATGCGGTATTTTCCCTGTCACATTTGGAATACAACTTAAAAGGTAAAAGCTCGTGACGAACGCAAACTACGACATGCAACTTGCCGACAGGCTGTGCAAAACAACTGAATAATAAAGACTGAACACTATGACGGGACAAACAACAAACATTTCTAAGCCGCGCACGTGCACGTGCCCCGCGCACGTGTCCCGTTATTTCTAAAGATTCTGCACATGCAATGTCTAGAGTAAAAGAACACGTGCAGATGTAGACTACGAACACGAGGTACATTAAGCAGGGAGCCAACAATATTTTCTATCTATTCACATTACATTCACTGACACAAATGAAATAATCAGCATTTCATAGATAAAACTGGATTTTCAGAGTGATCTCAAAACGGTACAAAACACGGTACAAAACACGGTACAAACACGGTACAAGAACACTGCCACTACAGTATACACACTCAGTTTAGTACTCCATACACAGCCTATAGTCTATACTTATAAGCTTATATAACCGTGTATAAACCCTTCTGTGCCCACCGAAATGAATAGTTCTGTGAGATCCTATACGTCATGTACTTGGGATGTACTTATTGTACAGCGTACATTGTATGTTATATGAACTAACGTTCACAGTTCTGTTGCGTTATAATCATACCATTTGCTGACCACTTGTTCGGTGAGAGCCCTACGATAGGACGATCAGTCCTAATTTAGATACCTTACAAGACATATTTATAACGTACGAAATGTGCCGGTTTTCCGAAAATTTCGCCATATTTTCGGACCGCCAAAATTTCGGTCGTCGTAATAGAATCCGTCGCATTATCTTTTAGCTTATTTCAATGACTGTGCCTTCACTGCTTTATTTTGTTTCTAAAAAGTAATATCAAGTAAAATAAATAAATAAATTCTGGCATCTTGGGACAAATTATCACCACACCAATGACGAATTGAATGTCAAGCAATACAGTTTAAATTTGCATTAAAATACATGTATGTGCTAACATGAAAGTCTTACAGTCTTAATACAGACTAAGTTTGAACATGATTTTACCGAATTTCAGAAATTTCCTTACTGCTTACTGTCACAAAAAATGATGAAAAATACCCTTATTTTCTGTGACGTCCGAAATTTGACGGTTTTTGTTCAATTTCGCCATATTTTCGGACCGCCAAAATTTCGGTCGTCGCAAATTGGTCCGCCACAAAAAAGTCTTGTAAGGTAACATGAATCAGCTTGTGAAGTTAACAGATTTTGTTTGTAAGGCTATAATACCTAATATTTAAAACTAAAATATTCATAAAGACAAGATATGAATGTGTACTATCAGAAATATAAGGTTAAGTCTAGAAAGAGAGACCGAACGGCGAACCGAAAATTTCATTAAATTGCCCGGGCGAAACTTCAGGACTCAGAGACGATCAAGTTACACTTATTACCAATCAATTACTCGCGAATTATCGATTAGAAATTATGTTTACAAACGGCTGTACTGAAATGGCCACCTCACAGAATACAAGGGAATGTATACTCATCTGTGAACGGTGCCAGCTACTGTAAAGCTGATAAGGACCCGTTGTCCAATGTCCAATGATGATTATATGATAAAATGAATGTATTATGCAAAACAAATAAATTACGAATGTATTCTTACATACATATCGAATCATTTCAGTTTAGCATAATTATGAAGCATGTTTATAATGGTGTGTATACTGTACACGGTATTGTACGCTTGTATGTTTTATGTACGCAGCATATAAAGCAGTTCTAATAGACAGAACAAGTAAAATCGGCAAGCGATAAGAACATATGATAGAGGTTGATAGGTAATCATTGTAACACTCATCTAAAGATTTAACAGCAAGTCAATAAGTTAATACTTCTAATAATAATAACTTAATAAGTAGATAACCTGCAAGTCAGGGTGTAAAAGAAGGTAACTTCTCGACCAAACTAAATATTATGTATACATAATATTTTGAAATACCATACATAATAACCAGCACATACCCCTAAACAATTACCAAACGAGCAAAGTTACAACTTACACTTACCCACACGGAATGACCATGCACAAATCACAGAACAGAGATAGCGGGCACCTTGATAAAACAAAGCTCACGGCACTTCTGAAAGCTACCCTTGCTTCCGGCACCCAAGGTTTATTTGATCAAGCGGTTGTAGCGAGGAATGAGGTTCCTAGTTCGTAGAGACGGATGAAATCACCCATGTAAAATATACTATTACCGGTGGGCGGTGGCCGGTGTACCGTGTATGATCTAAATTCTTACTAAATTTATATCCTAGTTTTCCGTTTGGTAGCCTTCTTCGTTTATGCTTGCTGGAAATTGTTTTTGCCAATTATTTGGGTAATTTTACAGTTATGACATGAGCTCATCGGGATTTGCTTTATTATTTGCTCAAATGAGAATGGCGAATAAGTTGGTTGATATTTCCTCTGATATGATCCGAATCGATTCCTTCATACGTATATGTCATATCTTCAGTATAAACTTATAAATAACTCGCAGAAAACTATACAATATTTACTGACAGACCCAGCCAAAACTTTATTAGGTTACCAACTCGACAAGCTTCAAACTTAACAAGTAAAGGATGTGGTAATAAACCAACTGCGAGTACAAAATTAAAGCACTGCCACTCAAAGAAAATGTGTCACTTTAGCACAATACATATAATTGT